ACCCGGCTGCTCTGGGCCCGGCTGCCCCGGGCCCGGTCACTCGGAGCCTGGCCACTTCCGACCTGGATGCTCTGGGCTTGGCTACTGCTATTCTGGGTCTGGCTGCTCCCACCCCGGCTGCTCTAGGCCCGGCTTCTCCGGGCCCGGCCACTCTGGGTCTGGGTGTTCCTGGACTGGCCACCCTGGGCTTGGCCGCCTCCGCCTCATGCCTGGCTGCCACTGCCCCGGGTCTGGCTACTCCAGTGCTGGCTGTTGATGCTCTGGTTCTGGCTGCTGTTGTTCTGGGGCCTGTCCGTTGCTGCTCTGGGTCTGGCTGCCACTGCCTTGTGCCTGGCCACTCTAGGCCTGGCCGCCGCTGCTCCAACATTCCGTCCTTTTTTTTTTAAAACGCATTTATGTTGCAATGTTGGCTGGTGAGCCGAGTTCTGACTTAGTCTTTGATTTTTCAAGATCTTCTTTGTATTCTTTCTTAAGTAATTTTACTATTTTTTGCTCTCACATGATTTCTTCACATTGAGAACTTCTTTGGCCCCCTCCTCCTTGTCCTGGGAGCTCAGCAGGTTGGCCTGTGGCACCCCTTTGTTCTCCGCGGGCTCCTGCGCTGCTTCAGCCTGTTGCAGGGACGGCGCCGCCCAGGAAGCGGCCCCCGGCCTTGGCTCCATTGCCCGAACTCAGTGGTCAAAGGCTCAGGGGCACCCACGCCCCCAGGGGCCCCGTGGCCCGCCTCCTTGCTGGTGCCCGGTTGGCTGGAGTCCTGCAGGGGCTTCCGCTCCCCTCCGCGTTCCCCCAGCCTTGAGCTTTTTTTTTCTCCTTCCCGCTAGGGAAGTCCAGCATCAGAGTCAACAGACTGTCCTCTGTGCGCAGTTTGCGCGAGTCCCGGGGGCCCAGCCTTTTGCCACTCTCCCCAGACTCCACCTCACAGCCCCGTCTCCCTCTGCCTGAGCCTGGGTCCCCAGGGATTGGCCCAGAACTGGGGTTCGGAGCAGTCCGGACTGAGGCTCAGCGCTGCCGGAGGCCTTGTTTCTTCCGGCTAGGGTAACCCAGCCTCAGAGTCAACATTCAGTCCTCTGCGCGCATTGCGCGCGACTCCCGGGGCCCTGCTTTTCGCCACTTTTCCGCCTCAAGGCCCCGTCTCCTCCCACCGGGACCTGGGTCCCCAGGGTCTGGCCCATAACTGGGGCTCAGCGCTGCCGGTTCGGGGGGCTCAGCGCTGCCGGTTCGGGGGTTCAGCCCAGGCTGGGGGTTTTATTTCCTTCCTGCTAGGGAAGGAAAGGCAGCTCCCCGCCCTCTCCTCCTCTCCGGCTGCGACCTCTCCGTGCGCGCGTGTGGGCGGGCGCGCAGCATGTCTCCGTACCTTAGGCTTTTTTTCAGCTCCTCTGATTTTCTTTCTGGTTTTCTCTTTCCTTCTTGTTGTAGAAATTTCAGTCAGTCGACTACCTGTAGCTCTGGGCAATGTCCACTCTACATTTTAGTTGTATTCCATTGAAATTGTTGTGTGCTGCCGCGGCTAGATGTCTACCCGAGCAGCCATCTTGGATCCTCTCAACGTTTAATCTTTCTGCAAGTTGTTTTTGAGTTTGACAGGCACCTTCATCCAATAATGCTTGTAATTGTTGGTCTTTAAAGTTTTTCGGTTGACCTGGACGTTCTTTGTCTTTCACATAGAAATCATCAGTTTTAATGCATTTAAACCAGGGTTCACAAGTTTCTTGAGATGGAGCACGTTCACCATAAGCTTCCCGAAGTATACGGTAACTCTCAGCAGCACTTTTCTTCAAAATAAAGTAATGAATTAAAACCTCCCTCAAATGTTCTTTTTTTTTGGCACAAAATGAAGTGTAAAGATATCTATGATGTTAACACCTTCAGAAAAATTTGATATATGAAGTTTTGAAGCTTGTTGTCAATACAACAAAATAGCATACCTATCAAATCATATATATATCAACATATGTATAACTCCATCTACTAAAAAAAAAAAATCCGCATTATTAACCGGTACACCTAGCATTTAGCCGTAGGCCAAGTTGGCCTTCAGGATCTCCTGAGGAAAGAAGAATGGATCCAGCCCAGCCCCACCACGAATTCAGGGGCTGTGCCTGCCACTCAGCTACCACGTCAGGCCTCCCTCACAAACCCCTGGCCGTCTCCTCCTCACACTTCAAAACCAGCCACTCAGGAGAGCCTTCCTGCCGCCCTCCCAGTGGACGAGAGGCCCTTGAGCACCCTGCTATCGCGGCAGGACCCTACAGCAGGATGACCTGCTGATGTGTCCGCTCCCATTCTGTCCAATAGAAGTCTTTGCCATCATGCAAATGTTTTCTATTTGCACCATCCAATAGGGTAGCTGCCCACCGCACATGGCTTCTGGGCCCTTGAAGTGTGTGTGGCTAAAGTGACCAAGGAACTGAATTTGAATTTGAATTTAACTAGTCATGTGTGGTTACTGCCACAGATTTCTGGGCCACGAACTCAGAGTTCCTGATTCAGCAGATCTGGGCTGGGGGGAGGGGGGGGGAGGTGGTAGGGGGACCTAGAACCTGCATTGCTAACAAGTCCCCAGATGGCACTAATGGTTCCCAGACCATGCCTCGACAACAGCTGGCTCACATCTGGAAGTTCCAGACTTGGATGACTCTAGAATCAAGATGGTCTGGATGTGGACATTCTAGGTTGGTGATTCTCCAAGTGGGGTCCCTGGGGTAGACGATCAGCATCACCCAGGTGCTTATTGGAAACATAGCACCTCTTCGCCATCCCAGACTCACTGAGTCAGAACTTCACCGTCCCCTCCAGCCAGGGCCTTTGGTGATCTGTGTCCCCAGCACAGCAGGTGCTCAACTAAAGGAAGGAAAAGGGCGGAGCAGGTTGCCCAGCTAGTAAGTGTGTTTCTCCTAAGGCAACGTGCTTCCCTCAGAGAATGGGCCCCGGCCACAACCTTCAGCTGGAATCCCTCTCCCCAAACTGCCTCCCAGAATGGGGAAGAGACAAGACGAGGCAGGTCCTCAGGCAGGAGGCCCAGCGGTCACCTTTTGGGGAACAGAGAGCTCCCCACAGAGGAGCCACTTACAATAGACCCTGTCCCCCCCGCCTCCTTGGTTTCCATGCCTTCTGGATTTTCACCCTGGAGAGTTCTGACTCCAGGCTTTCCAACTGAGCGTGGGAGGTGGCAGCTGGCCTGCGGGTGTCGCCCTGTGACCCACTAACGCAAACAGCCACTCCCCGCTCACACCTGCTGCCATTCCGGGTGCCAAACACGTCGCCACCCACGTCCAGTCCTGGCACCTCTTCCTGGACCAGCTCTCCAGGAACCAGAAGTAGGTTACAGTGTTCTTGAACGGGAGAGAACCAGAGAGGTCCACAGAGGGAGAGGCCCAACCCTGAACGGCAAAGTATCCGCTCACTGTCCAGGGAGGGGCGTGGCACCGGTGCCCTGACCCCTGACCCACTCTCCTGACCCGACATGTGGCACAGGCCCGGCAGCCGCTCTCTCCTCGGGTTCTCCAGGGTCCGAGCCAAGGAACACCCGGTGAAAACTGCCAGAGAAGAAGAAACGATGGGCATGTCCCTCCCGGCCCCGGCCATGAGGGGCACAAAGGTCACAGTCCTGGCGAAGACAAATATTCTGCCCGACGGATAGGGGAGGGACTTTGTGTCCTTTGAACTGGACACTGGAGGCCACAGCTCAGGATCAAGCTGGACAACAGAAAACCCGGCACAGGGGGGACCCCGCCACGCCTACCTCCAAGCCCCTCGGATACAAGCACCATCTGAAAAACGTATTTTAACTTTTTCGGATATAAATAATACCAGTTTGTTGTGGCCAATATATATATATATCACACTTCAATCCTCCAGAGAGAATTACTGCTAATCACTGGTTTCCTTTTCTTGCCTCTTTTAACAATTTTCCCAAGAACACCTAGGCTCATTTTCATATAATTATCCCTTCCTTGTTGTTTTTGTGTTTTGTTTTTTTTAAATATTAATCCTCACCTGAGGATATTTTCCCATTGGTTTTTAGAGAGAGAATGGAATGGAAGGGAAATAAAAAGAGAGAAAAACTTCAATGTGAGAGAGAGACATTGACTGGGTTGCCTCTTGCCCATGCCCCCGACCTTGACTGGAATCGAACCTGGGACCTTTCAGTCCGAGGGCTGGTGCTCTATCCACTGAGCCAAACCAGCCAGGGCCTTGACATGTTGTTTTGCAACCTGCGTTTTCACAGGAAAGTACTGCATGCACATGCTTCCAGGTCAGTGATATACAGCTGTTTCACACTCCTCCATCGACAGCAGCCATGTCCAACAGGCATCGCTGCATAAGCATCATGGCGCACTTGGTCATTTCTCTCTTCAGGACACATCCTTCGAGGAGACGCGGAAGCACCAGCAGGCATGCGCCTTTTTCAGGGTCTGGTCCGCACTACCAAACTGTCAGAACGGATAAACACGGAGCTGAGAGCTGAAGATGTTTGAGCAGAGAAGGGCAGTGTGGCACAGTGGGGAGATCGCCAGCTTTAGCTGTGTGACGGGGGACAGGCTATGTGGTCTCTCGGAGTCTCTCTCTCTTCATCCGTAAATGGAAATGAACCTATCTTTCAATGGGAAGCGTTAGAGACAACGGACACAGAAACCTTCAGTGAGCTCCGCATACTTATCTCTTGGATGAATGAAGTGAATTAGTGGTTGGGTGGATGGAGGGAAAGAAGGGAAGGAGAATGAGGAAGGACGTCGGGATGAAAGAAAAGGGAGAGCACAGTCGTGGCAAGTCCAGGGGTGGCTCGTCGGGAGAGGGTAGTCCTGAGGGAGCCCCAGGAGGAGAGGCGAGAGCAGGATGCTCCAGGCTGAGCAGAGACTCTCTCTGCCCTACAGGGTCTCTTCTGGGGCCTGGTGGCTGTTGAGGACTTTGTCCCTGGTTCACGAGGATGCCCTGAGGCCCGGAGATAGAACCCATGTCCTGCCCACCGTGGGACCCACCAGCCCCGGCTGAGCCCCTACCTTGAGGAACTTGCCACGATCCGGTGAAGGGACCCACGCTGCCTGCCAGCTCACATTTCTGAGCCCACGGGCCGTTGTCGCCTAAAAACCAGAAGGAACAACATGGGAAGGTCAACAAACCAGTGGGCACTTTGGCTGAGTCCCTCTCTCTAGCCCTACCTCCCTGGGCACGGCAGGAGACCGGACAGAGGAGGGGCCTGTACAATCCGCCGGGACCCTGCCCTGGAAGCGCTGCTGGGCCTTCAAAAAGCGGGGCTCCCCTTCCCCGAGGGGGTCCCATCGGGAGGCCCCTGCCTCATGGACCCTGGCCTTGTACAGCGTTAGCCATCCCATTGCCCGTGCCACCAGCCCAGCCACTGCCCACTGAGAACCTAGGATGCGCTCAGGGCTTCACACACATGATCTCACAGCCTCCAACATGCTACGGACGAGGCTCCATGGTTAGCTTCCCTTTGCACATGAAGAGACAGGTGTGCCGACATCAGCCTTCTCCACAGTCGCCCATGGATTCAAGTCCAGGTGTCTATGGACCCAGTGCAGCGCTCTGACCCCCTGCCCTCCTCTGACCGGGACCTGAGACCCACAGGGCCGTGCGGGCCTCTGAATGGCCCGCCAGTTCAGCTCCACTCGGCCAGAAGATGGGACCTGGCGAGCTGGCAGCCAGTAGCCCCCGGAGTCCCGGGACAGGGCAGATGGTGAAGAGGGAGTCTACAACAGTCTGAGCACTCCACATGTTGGCAACGTCAACGATATTCATTAATTAAGACTTAATCAAGACTGAAGGGCCAGGAGGGTACCTGCTCTCTTTGGGCAAACCTGTCCAGGGGCTCAGCGTTGGAGGCCCCAGGTGGACAGGGGCTCAGCATTCAACCCAGCCATCACCGGTAGGGCCCCAAGTTCGGAGCGAGCCCCCTGCCCGGGGGGAAGACGATCACATGACCAGACTCAGCTCTCAGGGTGCACGCGCAGTCGGCCGTTGGCGCCCAGTCAGGCAGGCTGGGTCTCGCCACCTCACCTGTGAACCAGAGGAGCGTATTTCCCTTGGCCGTGCGGTCAGCTGCGTCTCTGATCTGGCCCACCAGGCGGTCCATCTCCCGGAGGCCCGCGGCGTACGGGTCTGCCGCCCGCGGGGTCCTGGCCAGGGGCACGTGCATGTGGGCCAGGCCCACGTAGAGCAGGAACGGCCTCCCACTGGCGCTGGAGCAGAGAGCCACGCGGTCACCCTCCAGAGGGCCTGTCCCCTGTCCCTCCCGGGCCTCAGAGCAAAGCCCAGAACACCTCCACCCGCGTGCTCGGGGAGTGCGTGTCTGCCTCGGCCTTCCTAGGCTATGTGGAGACCATCGGGTCAGCCAGTTAAAACCTGAGAGCAGCCTGGCCGGTTTGCCTCGGTGGTTAGAGCGTCAGCCCTCAGACCAAAGGGTCTGGGTTTGATTCCTAGTCAAGGGCATGTACCTGGGTTGCAGGCCCAATCCCGGCCCGGCCAGGGCATGTACAGGAAGTAACCAGTGGATGTTTCTCTTTCGCGCTCGCGCTCTCTCTCTCTCTCTCTCTCCTTCCCCTTCCTTCCCTCCCTTCCATGCTCTCTCTAAAGATCAGTGAGGATGAAAAAAAAAAAAAAAATTCTGCCCTAGCCCGTTTGACTCAGTGGATAGAGCAGGGGGTCTACTGTGGCTTTGCAGAGCTGAGGGAGGCGAGGGGCCATGGTGGACGAGAGCAGAGGGTGGCCAGGGGCATGGTGGACGGGAACAGGGCTGGTCAGGGGGCATGGTGGACGGGAGCAGGGGATGGCCAGGGGCATGGTGGATGGGAGCAGGGCTGGTCAGGGGGCATGGTGGACAGGAGCAGGGGGAGGCCAGGGAACATGGTGGACGGGAGCAGAGCTGGTCAGGGGACATGGTGGACGGGAGCAGGGGGTGGCCAAGGGCATGGTGGACGGGAGCAGGGCTGGTCAGGGGGCATGGTGGACGGGAGCAGGGCTGGTCAGGGGGCATGGTGGACGGGAGCAGGGGGTGGCCAGGGGCATGGTGGACGGGAGCAGGGCTGGTCAGGGGGCATGGTGGACGGGAGCAGGGGGAGGCCAGGGAACCTGGTGGATGGGAGCAGGGCTGGCCATGGGGCATGGTGGACGGGAGCAGGGCTGGGCAGGGGGCATGGTGGACGGGAACAGGGCTGGTCAGGGGGCATGGTGGACGGGAGCAGGGGATGGCCAGGGGCATGGTGGACGGGAGCAGGGCTGGCCAGGGACATGGTGGACAGCAGCAGGGGGTGGCCAAGGGCATGGTGGATGGGAGCAGGGCTGGTCAGGGGGCATGGTGGACGGGAGCAGGGGGAGGCCAGGGGCATGGTGGATGGGAGCAGGGCTGGTCAGGGAGCATGGTGGACGGGAGCAGGGGGAGGCCAGGGAACCTGGTGGATGGGAGCAGGGGGAGGCCAGGGACATGGTGGACGGGAGCAGGGCTGGTCAGGGGGCATGGTGGACGGGAGCAGGGGGAGGCCAGGGAACCTGGTGGATGGGAGCAGGGGGAGGCCAGGGGCATGGTGGATGGGAGCAGGGCTGGTCAGGGGGCATGGTGGACGGGAGCAGGGGGAGGCCAGGGGCATGGTGGACGGGAGCAGGGGGAGGCCAGGGGCATGGTGGACGGGAGCAGGGGGTGGCCAGGCGCATGGTGGACGGGAGCAGGGCTGGTCAGAGGGCATGGTGGACGGGAGCAGGGGGAGGGGGGCACTTGGGCCAGAGGACTCCTCACCTGGCACGCTGGATGAACTGGGTGGCCTTCTCGGCGTACCGGTGCGCGAGGCCGCCCAGGTCCACGGGCTGCTCCAGGATGCGCAGGTTCTCGTACAGAGGAAGGGCCATGTCCGTGTAGCAGTCCCGGTCGGGGCTCCTGGGTGCAAACCGCAGAAGGAGAGCATTCAGCTCCATGACCTTCGCTGTCCTGAGGCGGAGCAAGATGCTCTAACGTGGAGATGTTCCTAACTACGAACCCCTCAACGGCCTGGCGCCAGGCGGTTTCCCGGCCGCCACCTCCTCCGCGTGTGAAACCACCACCAGACCTTCCTGCATTCCCTCTGAGGAGAAAGACTCGTGAGCTGGGAGCTCTATTGCTTCCACGTTGCTGGGAGGGAAACTGAGGTCTAAACAGACTGAATTACTCAAGCAGAGCCCCTCAGCCCATCAGGAGCCCATCACTGGCTTCTCCCACTGTCCCCCCAAACGATGACAACGTCATGAGGCACAACATCTGACAGCAGAACAGCAGATGGCCAGGGACAACTGTAAAATTTCAAACCATGTCTAGAGAATTTGGAGAACCTTTAGCCATTGGGGGAGAGGGGGCGGGGGATGGAGGTCAATCCAGTAGCCCCTCCAGGAAAAAACAATCGCAGCCCTTGGTCTTACAGAGCAAAATGAGTCTGACCTGTTGCTGAAACTGGTTTGGCTCAGTGGATAGAGCGTTGGCCTGTCCCTTGGTTGTGGGCACATCCCCAGTGGGGGGTGGGCAGGAGGCAGCTGATCAATGATTCTCTCTCATCGATGTTTCTAGCTCTTTGTCCCTCTCGCTTCCTCTCTGTAGAAAAATCAATAAAGTCTGACCTGTAAACGCGCCCTCCGTGTGGCTGAGGGAAGACCCTGGCCCTGAGCTTGGGCAGTTGTCACGCTACGAGGCATCACGATGCTAATCTCAACATTGTCTTGAGTTTTTCCCCTTTTTATGATCTCGTTGCAACTCCATCATTTATACTCTTCCTCCCCACCCCTACAGGCCAGTCCTTTTTTCTATTTGATTTGTTAATTTTGAATTATTTTTATTGAATTTATGTTGGTTCATAAAGTGATATAGGTTCCAGCTGTACAATTGCCGAATACATCACCTGTGTATATGGTACTGTGTGCTCATCAGCCCAGTCAAGTCTCCTTCCATCACCACTTATCTGCCCTTTCCCTCTCCTACCTCCCCATCCTATGTGATTGAACATGGACTGAAAAGGAACTGTGACACCTGTCCCATGGCCCCCTGTGGTCCCCAGAGGAGAAGGGCGGTGAGAGGCTCTGTGGCCTCGCTTCTCACACTGCGGAGTGCACACGGGTCACCCGGGGTCTATGAGACGCAGGCCTGAGGGTGGGGTCTGGACTCAGGGACACCAGCCTGAGCCTCCACCCCCCGCTCATACAGCTGCAGGGCGGCCTGGGCACAGGCACGCTTCCTCCCCTGAGCAGCCCAGACAAACCGGGCCTGGCACAGCGGAAGCAGGGAAGTGTACAGAGCGCCCAGAATGTAACCGTTTCTCAACCAACGGCCGTCATTCTACAAACTACTGTGCTGTTAACGAGCCAGCAAGACTGCTTTCCCCAAGCACCTGCGACCTCGTAACCTCCATGCACAGTCTGAACAAGCGAGCATGTGGTTTGTGGTGCTTTATTACCGGCACAAGGTGTATCGCCTTTTTCTTTTCTATCTCACCCCAGGATATTTTTCCATTGATTTCCAGAGAGTGCAAGGGACGGGGAGAGGCAGAGAGAGAAACATCAATGCAAGAGATACACACCAACTGGTTGCCTCCTGCACACGCCCAGACCAGGGCTGGAGATAGAGCCTGCAACCAAGGTACATGTCCTTGACTGGAATCAAAACCAGGACCCTTCGGTCTGCGGGCCGATGCCCTATCCACTGAGCCAAACTGGTTAGGGCTTTAGCACATTTTTCTGGTCGTTAATGTATTGCAGGCTCATTACTGAATTTTGGGAAATGCAATGAGAAAGAAAAAAAAAAAAAAACCCACAAAACTCTTAGTCCACAACCAGAGTGGATGGCCCATTGTTGGCACACTCCTGTGGTGTCTCCTGACTGACTATCCCGCATAAACGCTTAGGTAGCTATGACCCCACTGTTGGCGATTGTTTCCTGCTTTCTCCACTTAAGTCGTGAGCATTTCCAGTGCGCTGACTCTGTGTGTAAATGAGTGCCCCGTGGCGGCCAATGCCAGGTGAGGCTTATTTGTCGGGTAGGGCGGGTGGGGCGTGGGATGAGCTTGGAAGGAGCCCAGAGTGCTTCCTCTCTGGGCCAGGTGAGTGCCCAGGAGCAAAGCCAGCAGGCCGAGAAGGAGGGAACCCCGCGGTGAGGCCGTGGCCATGCGGGGCTCTGCCCAGCAGAGTTCAACAGTCCCAGGAGCCCGGCGAATTCTAGTGAGGAAATTCTGTGAAATTCTATTGGCCTCACCGTTGCTAGAAGTTTTCTTGCTCTTTTTTTTTTTTTTCCTTTTCTTTCTTTCTGTCTTTTTGTTTTCTTTTGCTGTTAATCCTCACCTAAGTATATTTTCCCCTTGCTTTTCAGAGAGAGTGGAAGGAAGGGAAGGAGGGGCAGAGAGAGACAGAGAGAGAAACATTGATGTGAGAGAGACACATCAACTGGTCGCCTCCCACATGCACCCCGACCGCGCACAGGGATCGAACCCACGACCCAGGTGCCTGCCCTTGAATGGGACCCTCTCGTGCACGGACCGACGCGCTGACCACTGACCACACGGGTCAGGGCGCTGTTTTGTCGTCTTGACTGTCCCGTCAGCCCCTCTGAGTTTCTCCTGGTGGACCACACCCCCAGGGCTGGTGGCTCTGGATCCCACAGCCAATTACCTTGATGGTCTCTCGCCCCGGGGGCACGCCGGACACGGAGGGAGGTCGAGGCCCGGGCTGTCCGTGCAGCCCATATCGTGGCTGTACGGGATCCCAAAGTAGTAATCGAACCCTGGAGGAGAAACAGCTGGTTAGCACCCCATTTGGCTTCCGTCCCAGGAGCTTGCATTCTTACACCCGGGACAAAAATGTCACCTTTCCCCTTCTCATACGGCAGTGCGACGGAGGACGTAATTAAGAGAGCATTTGATGAATATCCCTTTGCAATCTGCAATAAACACTTTGCTGGGTTCTGGCAGGAAGGCCCGGTTTGGGACACAGTCTGTGATCCTTTACCCCAGAGCGGGAGGAAGTGGAGAGAACGATTAAGCCCCTGCCTTCCCGGTGCAGTTATTGACACTTTGGGAAAGTATTGGCTGAAAATGTAATACCCGTGTTTCCCCGAAAATAAGACATCTCCGAAAATAAGACCTAGCGCAACTTTGGGAGAAAAAATTAATATAAGGCACTGTCTTATTTTCGGGGAAACAGGATACATGCCTGACGCCGTAAGGGACTAAAGAATAGGTTCTGCCTTCAAAATACTTCCCATCTGAAGGGAATGTAATATACACAGATTAAGCTGTAAGAGACGGAGAATCCATAGAACAAGAGCGATTAGGTCAGGGGTAGCGACCCTTTTTTCTGTCAAAGGTGCATTTATGACATCATCTGGGGGCCAAAATGACCAACGGGAAAAAATCAGCCTGCTGTATGTATTTGGTCAGACATATATATTTGTGGTTAATCCTCACCTAAGGATATTTTCCCCCTTGATTTTCAAAGACAGTGGAGGGGAGGGAAGGAGGAGCCGAGAGAGAGAAACGTGGATGTGAACGACAAAGATTAACTCACTCCTAATGCCTTGGCAGGGCCAGATCCAATGACTGTGGGCCTTTCGTGGCCCACGGGCCAGGTGTTCCCCACCCCTGGGTTAGAGGAAGACGTTACCCCCAGATGCTGGGCGTGCGTGGGGTGGGGCAGAAATCTCAAAGTGCTTCTAAGAAGGGCTGGCATTTCAGCTAGACCTCAGGAAGCTGATGGGCCAGGGCCTGGGGTACTGAGGTGGGGTGAGGGTGTGGGGTGTGCTGAGGGGGGCCGGGGAGGCTGTGAGTTAAATTGAGGCATGAATATCCATGTGGGCTTTTTTCTGAGATCCTTCCCCATCCCGTCTCTTCTCCAACCCAAGCTTTAGTGTGAAGTTTCCCACGGGATTCCTCTACTCCTCCCGCCGGGCCAGGGTCCCTGCGTGGGTGGCCCCATCAGTCAATGTTTACTTCTTACCACACTAGGACATCAGCCATGTCCCCTGAGATGCAAGGAACCCCGTCAGGGAGAAGAGTGGGGCTGGCGATGCGGAGCCAGGGGGCAGACAGGAACCAAGGATAGGGGACAGGGAGGAGGATGTGAGATTGAGGGGAGCCCCGGCACCCCAAATGCACCCAGGAGATACTGTGAACAAAGATATCCTTACACAGGAGCAGTCACTCCGGTCCTTATTTCCCGTGTCCCAGGTAACAAAGCCCCCAAAGAGTTCTTACCACGGAAGTTGGGGTGATAAGAGCTGTGATGCCCGAGGTGCCATTTGCCTGCAGGGAAACGAGAAAGAGACTTTCAGAGGCCTCTTACTGCTTACACCCTCGGTTGCTTACACTCTCGGTTCCCCATCAGGTCGCCCTTCCCTGGGTTCTGGCTGCAAGGCCAGATCTGGTTGCAAAGTGATGAGGCTGCAAACACAGTGCCAAAGCCAAGCCCTGCTCCATGGGGCCCAGAGGGAATCCACGGGGAGAGAGAAAGCGAGCAAGGGTGACTCGGCGCCTCCACAGGAGAATGCAGTGCGAGGGGAAGACATGCCATTCCTGGGAGCCCAGTGAAGCCAGCAGGCTGAGCTTCGCCCCTCCACGAGGTTCCAGTGCCCACAGCAACCTTCCTCCCCTCCCCCCCCCCAGCCAGCTGCACCCCCACTCTGCTCTCCTGGGCTGGGGCCGGCCAAGGGTGCAGGTGCGTGCCCCACACGGTCTCAGAGACGCCTGGTTGCATCATCATTTCTGGCCAACGCCCACTGCAGTTAAGCGCACCGACACCTACCCAGCTGCCAACGAGCAGACTCCTGGCTCTGTCGATGCCTGAGGTCCAGGCCGGGGTGGGGGGTGGGGAGGGGGGGGGCTGGTGATGCAAGCCAAGTGCTCCGATAATGCTGGACCTCTCTGACCTGCTCTTTCTGCTCTGAGTAAAGGGCCCGGGGGACTTGCTCACAGGCAAAGAGGCCCGAAAACAAATGCGGTTCAAAGATCTGAACCGCGGGCCCTCGCTGCAGCGTTAGGCGGCACACCGTCCCTCCTGTTCACGCCCGGGGGGAGGAGGCAGGGTTCCCACAGGACCCGGCTCTTGGAGAGTCGGAATAACAAGCACAGGCAGCCCGAGGCGGATGCCAGGACGGCTGGGTTGCCTCAGGGGAGAGGCCAGCAATGAAGCAAAACACGAGAACAAGTTGGACCAGACACGCCTGTCCTGTACCCGCTCGGGGCCAGGCGGCACTGAACAAGTCTCCACACCTGCCTGGGACTCGGCCTCCTCCCTACAGAGTGTGGGGTGAACCAGGCCCAGGGCACGGCCATCCGTGGAGCAAATAAACACTCAGCCCAGCGCGGGCACAAAGTAAAGACTAAGTAAGAGGTGCTTCGTGAGAAAGGAAAGCACGCTGGCGGGCAGTGTGGCAGGCGCTGCTGTTTGCCGGCCCTACGCCCAGGTTCCCCCACTCATCCCGCTCGCAGAACTGTGGTTTTTGGGAACTTGGGGTTGGGAACCTGTGCCTGAGGCCAAATCAACCCCCCCACCCCACCACCACCACCACCATTTCCCAGACTTCCTTGCAACAAAGAGTGGTCATGTGACCCAGCTCTGGCCAATAAGGTGCAAGTGCACTTCTGGGGCTGAGAAGACTGTGTTCCTGATAAAAGGGAACAAGAGGCCTCTCCTGGGGGCCCAGCCCCTCCGGGAGCTGCTCACACTCTCGGTTAGCACTGCCTCCCCCTGACCCTGCCTTGAGGCCAAATGATGGCGAATGGTCTGAGGCCGCTCATGGCAACCAAGAGGCAACCAGCAGGACAAAAGTCAACAGAGAAAGGACAGCAGAGCAGAAATGATTTCTCTGAGTGGCTGAGCCGATAGAAGCAATCACTTAGCTCTATGCTTATTAGAATGAGAGGAGAATGGCTCAGATACCCTTTCGCCCGCTGTTGGGCCTTCAGTTACTCACCGCCGAAAGCATTCCTAGCTTAGACAGCAAGAGATCAACAAAAAAGCAGACGGGCGCAGACGAGGCAGCGTGTTAGGGCTGCACAAAGGCGGAGCAGCCAGCCCAGGACGGCGGAACCTCAGTTCTCAGACTTAATCCGTTTGGAGAAGGCTGCTCCAATCACATTTCCCCATTAGAAATAATGTCAATGAATTAACCCGTTCCCCGCCACCAAATGACCCTCCGTTTTAATCTTTCTCATAGACAGTACATGTCTAATGTACTGTTTAATTTACAAATAAGCACTTTGAAAACAAAAAGGACATGAAATGTACATGAAATAAATGAAAAGTCAACAAAATGGAAATTAAATGTATAGTAAAAAAAATGAAAATGTAACAGTAATAAGCAGCAACGAAAGCAAAACACACACACACACACACACACACACACATATTCACAGCACAATTTCCTGAGATGTTAACAACATGAGGTTTAGTGGTAAGCTGACTCTTACTCTTGTATTCTCTCCTTCGTCGCCTGAGAGACACGTGACTGATCATACAGGTATCAGCATGACAGGGTTGTTGGGTTGAGAAGCGAACTGTTCCAGGCAGGAGACATTCGAGAACCCAGGTGTTACTGCACGTGCAGTGGGAGATGGGGCTGGGGCTGTGGGGCACCCACGTTACCTATCATCCCGGTGACGTAGCCGGCCTGCTGCAGCACCTCGGCCACGGTGGTCTCGTTGAGCGGAAGGCCCCCCACAGAGGTGACGGCAAAGTTGTGTGTGACTCCGTTGCGCAGGCCCAGCCGGCCGGTGAGCAGGGCGGCCCGGGAGGGCGAGCAGGTGGAGGCAGCCGCGTGGAAATCCACAAACCTGCATGGAAAGGGAAGTGATAGAGATCTCTCAAAAAAAACAAAAACAAAAAACTCGCCCAGTAGAACAAGTAAAGAAAAAGGAGCCCAGAGGAGTAAGGGGACTAACCCAAGGTCACACAGGCCATTCCAATGGATACAATCCAACATATTTAGTGGATCCTCTTTATCCAAAGATTCCATATTTCTTACGTGTATCTGTAACCCCGAAATCAGTACGCTGTGGCTCTTACGCAGTTATACAGAGTCACAGGCAGACCTGTGGGAAATCTCAGCCATCTGACCTGCACAGGCCCAGCTGTAGTCGGCTCTCATTTCTGTAAGCAAGTGTCCTCCTTTTCAGAGTCTGGTCAGTACCCTGGCTTTTGCATTTTTGTTCTTCCATGTTGCTGATTTCACTGTTTGAAACGGCCCTCGAGCAGAAGGCTGAAGTGCTGGCCAGTGGTCCTAAGCTCAGGAAGGCTGTTACATACCTTACGGGAAAATATACATGTTCTATAAGCTTCATTTAGGAATGTGTTCTAGTGCTGTGGGCTGTGAGTTCAATGTTAATGAATCAAAAATATATGTTAAACAAGCTGCCCTTAAACAGAAACACACACAAAACAAGGTTCTGTACTGATCAGTTGATGAAAATGTGGCCAGAGGCACATAGGAACCTAACCTTGTATTTCCCCTAGAAGCAATGGCTCAGTATTCTTCATCTATACCAGTGTTTCCCACACTTTTGACATATGTGTATCCCTTCTATAATTTTCGTAACACTGAGTACCCCTCATACTCATGAGAACGTAGAATTAGACGCAGCTAAGCACGGTGAAGTGCATATCCCCACCAAACTCTTCCCGTACTCCTGGGGGTATGAGTACCACACTTTGGGAAACACTGATCTACACTAATAAAAGAGAAATATGCAAATTGACCGTACCTTTGCAACACCCATCAGCCAATCAGGAGTGAGTATGCAAACTAACTCAACAAAGATGGAGGGTTAATTTGCATACACAGACACTGCCCCCAGCCGCTCTGGGCCTCTAGGCAGCAGAAAGGTGATTTTGGACAGAGCAAGACAGAAAGACAGTTCCAGCCTAAGTGAAGGTGGTGCTGGCAGCCAGAGGAGGGAAGGCCCATTCTTGCACAAATCTTCATGCATTAGGCCTCTAGTAATTCAATAATTATCCAATAACTCGGTGTCCATGGAGACCTTATAGAACATAACTACTACCAATAACAAGAGCTGACTGTACCCGCTACACACTACCACATGCCCAGCCCTCTGTCAGACACCTTGAAAAAGCATAAGCAGTCTAGCCATTTTCCTATCCTTGAGGAACATGACTAAACTTAATGTCACCGACAATGGAGCAACCTGGCCTTGTATGTCTCCTAATGGAATGCAACATGAAGTTCATAAAGTCAAGGATTCCTGCCAAAAACATTTAACTCGAACCTAATCAGTCCCCTGGAGCTAATTTCCAGGTTCCAGAAAATATCACTAATAGAAGAACAAGCTGTTTGACACCACAAGGAAATAAGTGCACAAACCAGTCTCTAGATGTTCTATTAATATAAAACAACTGGTTGGTGAAAAGGAGCCAATATCTGACGGGAAATTGGATAGAGGGGGGATACTGTACATTAAAACAGACATAACCAAATAGTCCTTAATGAATCCTAGTTCAGACAAGCTAATGTAACAATACATGTGGGGACTAATTAGAGAAACCTAATATTGACTGGATATAAGATGCAGTTAGGGAATCATTGTTCATTTTCATGAGTGTGGCCATGTGGAAAAATGTCTTTATTATTTTTTCCAGCTTTATTGAGATATAATCGACACATAACATTGTATTCATTTAAGGTATGTGACAGAATGATTTGATATGTGTATCTACTGTGAAATGACCACAATAGTTAACATCCAGCGCCTCATATCCAAGTATTTTTCCTTGTGATTAGAACTTCTAACATTGACTCTCTTAGCAGCTTTCCAATATACACTACAGTATTGTTAGCCACAGCCACCATCCTATATATTACAGCCCTTCACTCTTGCTCACTCCTCATGTCAAACTGGTTACCAAGTTCTATTGATTCTGCCTCCTAAATGGCTCCCAGGTCTGTCCCCTCTGTCACTGCCTCAATAGATTATTACAAGAGGTTGGTCTTCCAGCCATCCCAACCCCAATCCCCCACATTAATGCCAAGATCATCCCACAGTGTGATCTGATCATACCAATTTCTTATTTTGAAAAGCACAGTCTCTCTCTGCCTGCTTCCTCAGGCTCACCTGCTTCTCAACTCCTCCACACCCTGTGTCCCAACACACATATTACTCCCATACCTCAGTGCCTTTGCACATGCTGATCCCACCACTGGGAAGGCCTCCCTCCTACTTCCCTCCCCCATCTTGATTGACAACTCCCAGCTGTCTTCATGTCCTAGCTCTACATCATCTTCCCAGACTCTGCCCCCTATGCCTGCACAGAGTCAGGCCCCCTCTTCCCCATACAATCATATTGCTTTGGGCATATCCTTTATAACACTGAAATATAATTCTTTATGTTTATGTGCAGGGCGGTGTAAAGATGACCACAGATTCTCTGACAAGCCTCCCATTGGGAGATGAGGTCTGAGTCCCGCCTCTTAACTCCTCCGTCAGCTCCTGCCATTCTTAATGGTGCTTACGACATGGTCCTCATCTAAGTCAATCTGGTGACCTTCCAAGATGCCAGGCTAACTCTCCCAACCCAGGACAGCAGGCTGATGAGACAAGCCATCCTCCAATCCTAGGTTTTCAGTGATCACCTTCTGCTTGGCCACTGTCACCACCCATGCTCCGGCTCACCCCACCCCTTCTGCCTTCCGAGTCATGGCTGCCTGCTCTAGGTAGAATTATCACCCAAAAGCATATAGTGTAGTCCTCACCTCACTACCTCAGAATGCGACCTTATTTAGAAACTAGAGGCCCAGTGCACAATATTTGTCCCTCAGCCTAGTCTGCACCTTCTCACAGTCTGGGTCCCTGAGGGGGATGTCCGACTGCTGGCTTAGGTCCTCTTGGGCATTCCCTGAGGGGTCCTTAGTGCTGCTGTGGAATCAAGAGAAGCTCCTGCCACTGTTGCTGTGCTTGCCAGCCGTGAGCTCGGCTTCTGGCTGAGCAGCACTCCCCCTGTGGGAGCACACTGACCACCAGGGGGCAGCTCCTGCATTCAGCATCTGTCCCCTGGTGGTCAATGCACATCATAGCGACCAGTCATTCTGCTTGTTTGGTCAATTTACATATTAGACTTTTATTACATAAGATAGTCATTGCAGAGATAATTAGTTGAGATTACAGTGGAGTAGGGTGAATATAAGTTTTCTCTTTACCGCCCAACATGGCTAGAGAGTTCCTGAGTAAGGGAGGCTGGGGATTGAGAAAAGGAAAAGAGACAGACACAGAGACAATAGGGAAAGCCTGGACTGGGTGGACAGACAGTGACCCAGAGTTGGTGAAGCACATTTATTATATACAGCATGATTCCAGGAAGTTTTACTAGAGTTTAAGACAAAGGAAATTATGTGAAATCATGGTTAAAGATCAAGCTGTAATTCTTCATTCTTGTGGCTTCTTGGTAATTGTCACTCCTGATGATCCTGGATAATTGCGTCTGTTCCTTGCACCTGGCTGAACTTAGATAATGAAACCCATCCCCTGGCACCTTTAGGTCAGGCTGACAACATACCTGCCTCTGGCAAGGTGCGTTTCCAGGACATGGCTCTGTCAACACCATTGGACTCAGCCGACAATTAGCTCATGTGCCTTCCCAGGCACTCTCTACTGGTTGAGTCCTTAACCCAATATAACTGGTGTGTTTGTAAGGAGAGAGAGACAGTGAGGAGAATGCCATATGCAAACAGAGACACACGGAGGGAAGGTGGCCCTGTGAGGACAGAGGCAAGGACTGGAGTTATACTGCCTCAGGCTAAGGAATGCCTGAGGCTAACAAAAGCTGGGAGAGTCAGGAAGGAACCTCCACAGGAGTTTCCTAGGGGCCTAACTGCCAACACCTTGATTTTTAACGTTTAGCTTCCAGAACTATGAGAATAAATTTCTGTTGTTTTAAGCCACTCAGTTTGTGGTCTTTTGTTACAGCAGTTGCAAGAAACTAAATACACCACCTGCATAGGCCCAGCATTCATCCCAACAGGACCCTGATTCCTGGAGCATCTCACATCCCACACACAACTCTCCAGCTCAACACCTTGGCTCTGCCGTATCTCAGCCCAGAGTGCTTTACCCGTCACCTCCCTCCCAAATTCCTACCTGTCCTCTGAAACCTACTACTGTCTGCCACACAGTCTTTCTTTGTCTCCCAGGAGGATGGGTCTTGACCTTGACCTCTGCAGCCTCTTCATGTCTGAATGGCGACATTCATCTGACATCAAAGCCCTTATGAGAGTCATGCCTTCCTGTGGTGCCTGCACCCCTTCTCTACCTGTCCATCCTCAGGACTCATGTGGGGCTGCAGATGCCTGTTCCCTGCCCCCACTCTCACTGGCCTTAGACTGAGGAAGTCCTAACACTAAGTGGTATCAGCTCTATCAGCTCCAAAGCCTGACTTACTTCCACACAACCATGGGAGCCAGAGAGACACAAGAACATCCATTTCCCAGCTGACCTCCGGGGATGGGCACAGCACGTTAGTGGTCCATGTTTTCTTCCTGCTCACAAACTGCACAGGAAGCCAGACTCTGAAGTTTGCCTTGGTGAGTGTGGAGTTAACTAACTAAGGGCATCAAATGGATTGCTAAGCTTAAGGGACTTCTATCCACAATGGAGTTAACTTTGCCAGTGGGTCTGGGATACTCAGAGGCTGTTGACCACCACTTCTTCACCCCTGGTGCTACAGGATGAATGTCTGTGTCCTCCAAAATACATCTGTTAAGTCCCTAAAAAAGTGATGGCTTTGGAGGTCAGGCCCTTGCGAGATGATCAGGTTTAGAGGAGGTCCT